AAGGAAATATTCGTCTTTACTAAAACACTGAAAATATTTCTAGACAGAATTTTTTTACGGGTACTCCTTCCTATAGTAAATATATAGCAGAGTAGGCGGAAGCCTGTCGAGAAAGCTTATAAGCTCATATTTGTGTGATTCCTTCGTTAAGATGTGCCAGTTAATGAGACTAATTGTATTATGTAAAACAAAATGAACTATGAATACACTAGAAATAGTTTGGACTCTTAGTTTATTGTTCCAGAAATGTTGCACAAATGAATTCTATGATCGTCTCAGAAAAACCTTATTTTCAAATATCGATTTGAAATTTCGTATAGACACAATCTTTGACGAAAATAGTTTCTTATAAATGTGCCAGATCTTGTTCGTCTTCCTGTCATCACATACAGCGATAGTAAAAAGAACATCTTTTACATTGCTCAAATATAATGATAGATTGTTTGTTCCTATTTCAGAATAGAAGCAAATCAAAAGACATGCAACTTTCATTATTAACTATTCTCATTGAGAAGTCAACATTCGAAAAACCAGGTTTTTCTTTTAGTATTCCCTAAGCTTGTAAGCAAAATTCACATGCTTAGAATCCTATAAGATGGTTATCTTTTTTTCACCCTATTATCTTTGATTGATCTAGACGTTAACTAGCAATCTACATTCATTTTCTCACCATTAACTTGATAGTAGAATTATAGAAAAGTCATCTACATTTGTAAATGATTTATACAAATCTTTTTAATATTCAAGGATTCTGAAGATGAACAACAACAAAGTAATAACATAACACCTATACCAATTATGAAAAGCATTGAATCAACTTCATTTGAACCTGATTATATACCTTCTTCATCTGTTAAATATCATCAACATAGAATCGAAGAATCACCTAACAAACATGCTATAACAACAACAACGAAGAAAATAAATATATCTAATCGAAATGAATATGAAAATCTTGAAAGACCTACAAAATTAAAACGAAAAACAACAATTGAACCAAAAGTAAAAACACAAAAAAAAACTTTAATAATAAAAAAATTTTCATATAGAAATTAACAAATGATCGTCAATATAATAAACAATCAAATTCATTAATAACATCGGATGGAATTCGATATTCAAATAATTTAATGAAAACATATGTTAATGATTATGATAGTGGTATTGGAACAACAAATATAACTAAATTAAGTCATGATAGGTAATTATAATAAATTAAAATACTAATAATAGTAATATTAATTCTATTTTTAGTAAATTATATACTACTACAATGGATGAAAGTCGTTTTCATTCATTCTATGATGAACAAGGTTTATTAAATAATAATAAATAAAAAATACTTTTCAATATTTATTTATTTTTTCTCTCCTCTTTCAGAATCAATGTCATCATCATCATCACATTCAAGTAGTTCAAACTTTACAAGTTCTGGAAGCCCTTATAGGTAAATATTCTATTTCAGACGTATAAATATTAATAACAAATAAAAGAAAAGAATCTATTCTTCTTTTTTTTTCTATTTACAATCATATTCATTTTCTTTTTTGCAAGCAAATATACAAACAAATTCGATAGTTCATCATTAAATAGAAGAAAACATCAAGGTCATTATGGTATTTAAATATGTAAATTTTTTTTTCCTTGATTCTTATTTGTTTGTTTTTTTTTTCTTCCTTCTTCTTAAATAGTAGATCCTCATCATTCATCTGATATTGATACACGTGTAACCGGTTCATTTGATCCTATTCCACAAATATCTTCATCTAATAAAGAAATACATGATAATTCTAATATTTGGAAATCACAAAGAACACCAATATATTATAGTTCACGTATATTACCATCAAATCGAAGTGTATCTATTGGAAATCGTCAAATTGATAAAAAACAAATAAAAAATTCTCATTCATTTATTACACCAAAATTAATAACTCAACAAAATTTATATTATCAATCAATGATACCAAGAACACAACATCAAAAACGATATCGAAGTTCACTTTATATAAATCAACCACATACAAATCAACGTTTACAAGAAATAAATAATCAATATAAACCAAATAGTCTTTATTTAGATTCTCAAACAGGAATTATTTAGTAAGAAAGAAAGAAAAAAACAAAAACAAATTCTTTTAGTATATTATAATTAAATAAATATATATATTTAGTCGATATGAATCAAATCAAAATCAATATCCACCTAAAATTTATAATAGATTACCTTCACAACAGAGTTTATATGAATGTGCTCAATGTGGAAGTATTACAACATATCATCATCGGTTTGTATTCTATTCAATTTAAAAAAGAACAAATGTTTTTTTTCATGAATCATAGTTTTGATTTGAATTTTTTGGTTTTTTTTAGTCATCATATCGATTCAACATTAAAACGAATTCCATCTTATCAAGATGATCCTGGTTATGAAAGTGGACATAAGTAAGAATAATATTATATATATATGGGCGCGATCAACTGCCCTGATACAGTCCTATTGTAAGGATAAAACACACTATTGTCCGGGCCGTATGAGAGTGGATCCCAGATAACCCTGGATTGGCCTGAACAACACCATGTTTTATCCTTACAATAGCTTTTGTCTACTATTGTAAGGATAAAACATGGTGTTGTTCAGGCCAATCCAGGGTTATCTGGGATCCTGTCTCATACGGTCCGGACCAGAGATGGACAAAATCGCACCGCGCCTCCCCGCTGCTCGCGCCTAAGCGCTACGCACATCTCTCTTTCTCTTTGCTCTACCAATCAGTTTCTCAAACTCCACCGAATACCGGGATGCTCTAGGCATGCGCTCATCGAAGCTCAGACTAGTGTAGCATAGGCGTGAGCAACGGCGCAGGGAGGCGCGGTGCGACTTTGTCCATCTCTGGTCCGGACAATAGTGTGTTTTATCCTTACAATAGGACTGTATCAGGGCAGTTGATCGCGTCCATATATAATAATTTTTCATTATTTAAGAAAAACAAATTATTGTTC